GAGGATTTCGCTGTGGCCAAGGATGACGACGAACCTAACCAACCACGGGTTCTTCCTGGTGCACCAGCCACACTCCTCACTCAGCAACATCGTTAGAAACGTAACTGAACTCCTCCACGCTCTGGCATCTGCAGGCGAATAGCTACATGACCACCAGAGAATTTTAGATAAGGACATATCCACCTCTAGAGAAGGAAGGGATCGTGATCGCACATTGGTTTTACCTCATTATGCGCTTCTCTTCGACGATCTAATCCCCACCCACCACAATAATTCAGACTCCAAACAACAATGCCCACTACACTTCCATTCCGCGATATTAACCTGCTGGTTTCACCCTCTCAATATGCTTTCCGCTCTGCTTCTTCGTCATCTGCACCTACACTGGTTGTAGAGCGTCCAACTGGAGACCTACGACTGGAGAACTCCTCTGCTCATGGTGCCAAAAGGGTCTCCAGCATTGCTGGAATCCTAGGCATGATCAAGCTGAAACTAGGTGAGTTAACTTATACAAAGTCAGTGACTATAGATGCTTATAACTCCCGTTAGACAAGTACATCATCTTGATTTCGAAGACACGGCCTGTGGGCAGGCTGCGAGGCCACATGGTTTATAAAGTTGTTGCCACTGAATTTCTTCCTCTGCGAGAGAGATACCTCCACGACCCGGACGAGGATGCGTACCTCAATCTACTTAAACAATTCATACGTGCGGGGCCTATGTACTTTTCCTACTCGCTAGACATCACCAACAGTTTTCAGCGTCAGTCCCAAAGCGATCCGTCTCTGCCACTGTGGAAACGAGCAGATGATCGTTTTTTCTGGAACAGATTCATCCAAACAGACTTGATAGACTTTCGATCGGGGGTGAATGATGGAACCGGCGTGCGGTATGGTCAACTATCGGATGTGGATCCTTTCATTCTCCCTGTCATGTTCGGAATGATGAATATATCTTCAACGAAAATCAAGTCTACTCAATTCACCTTTGCACTGATAACACGAAGGTCCAGGCATCGGGGTGGCACTCGGTACTTTTCGCGTGGAATCAATGAGCAGGGACATGTTTCAAATTTCAATGAAACTGAGCAGGTAGTTATCCTGAATGACTCTACTGGGGGAATGGCTGGATTCGGTGGTGTTGGAATGGAAAATGGAAAGGTTGGTAAACATGCCGGTAAAGACCTGCAGGTGCTGTCGTTCGTACAAACCAGAGGTAGTGTCCCTCTGTACTGGTCAGAAGTCAACAATCTAAATTATACCCCGCTTCTCCAAGTACGTTCTGTCGACTCTGCCCTGAACGCAGCACGAAGACATTTCTTGGAACAAATCCGAATCTATGGCGAGAACTATCTTGTCAACCTGGTGAACCAAAAGGGAAGGGAGGAGAAAATCAAAAGCAGCTACGAACAGATGATACGCGCGTTGGTTACATTACCCACCGAGAAAAGAGATGCTGATACCCTCAGCTCTGAAAAACTCCATGCCGTCGAGTCAACCCGAGATGCCCAGGAAATGGATCATCTTCACTATGTATACTTTGACTTCCACAGCGAGACAAAGGGGCTACAATGGCACCGTGCTGAGCTGTTGCTGGAACGGCTTACTGACGGGTTACTAAAAGGCCAATATTTCCGTGGAATCGAAGTTCCTGGCGATAGTACTGGCTCTTTGGAGATCCGAACACTACAAACCAGCGTTGTGCGTACGAATTGCATGGACTGCCTGGATCGAACGAATGTTGTCCAGAGTATGCTTGCTCGATGGACTCTGACACGTCAACTCCTTGACGCTGGGGTTCTCCAACCGGGAGAGTCAACCAGTGATGACTCAGAGTTCGAGTTCCTATTCCGTAATATGTGGGCAGACAACGCGGACATTGTCTCCAAGTCCTACTCGGGCACTGGAGCCCTGAAGACTGACTTCACTCGAACTGGGCAGCGGACAAAGGCCGGTATTCTCCAGGATGGCAGAAACTCCGTTACCAGATACGTCCTCAACAACTTCCTGGATGGCCCAAAACAAGACGCATTTGACCTGTTCCTTGGCGCCTATCTCCTTCCCGACCCTAATTCTGGAGATAGTCTCCTTTTGGCGGATCAAAGGCCCTTGGCTATTCGATCAGTCCCATATATTCTCGGCGCCAGCATCTTCATGATTTCTGTCTCTCTAATCAGTCGTCGTCTCCCGGACTCTGCAGCTTGGCCCTTGAGATTATTCCTTATAGTTTGGCTAGTGATTGCGGCCTGGTGTGTGCGATTCATATATAGCCATGGAATGCTTTATGTAAGTTGAATACTCACAAAGATCATTTCGTCTCAACGATTACATACCACTGACGATTTTTCCTCGCACGTCAGGTAAATTGGCCTAAGCTCAACACCCCTGCGGCAGCCGCTGAGGGTTACTTGGATGCACTGGGCCGTGCGCGAAACGATAAAATTATTGGCCAATTCATCAACACTGGAAGACATCAGCGCGGAGTCAGCAATGCACGTGTTGGATACATGGAGGAGGGAAAGACAAGAATCGAATAGAAGTTATTATTTACCTGCTAAGTAACCACATACATAATTTTCGTTATACATTATCCCCTCAGCTTGTTTCTATTTCTGAAATGGCCTATATATGTCCAATGTATATATGTATTGTTCCCCTTGCCGACCGTTTTTGCACCCGCACTATTCTCACTATTCTCCATTTAATCCATTTCAGGCAATGTTTCATAACAACTATCGCCTTTGTGGAGGAGGTGAAATTAGTTTGTATTACATCTTTTAATTTAGAGGGATGGGTCTGTATTCTTGCTGATTTGGTATATTTGTTTTGTGTTTTTCAAACCGATGTTTCCATCCGTTGCCACCAACATTCACCATAAAAGTCAGTGAAAAAACTCAAATTTATTTATAGATAACTAATAATTCTTCTGGCTTTGTTACATGATGTTACTTGTTGGTTATCTCTGCAGGATAGAGTAATACAGGTGTGAAGAATTGACATTGGTTGGTGCCTTTGACAATGCTAAACCACTTTGGGGCTGTAGTTATCTTATCAACACTCACTGGAAAAACTTCACTACTCAACGAGGTACTTTTCTCAACCCAGATCCCGATCCAACACCAATGCTCACGCCCTCCAAAGGGTGGTTTAATCCCGGTTCTCGAAGGGCTAAGCTCCCTACGCGAGTATTGACGAGGAGATTTGTGAGAATGGCTCGCAATTATGAGGTTTGTCGTTCCCCTGCTTAGGTCGTCGCGGTGATAATGCATCTTGGAATAAAACCCCCGATTGATATGACTCGAAAACAAAACGAAGAAAGAAAGAAATGGTAATAATAGGAATCAATCCAGGATGCCATCGCGGCTCTTAATTCTCTTCAATCTAATTTCGCAATTGTCAATGCGATCCGACAAGCAGGCCCGAATATGAACCTCCGGGCCATACCTGAGATGATAGAGTGGTGCCAGAAGATTGGATATCAGGTGTGCGGCTAACCCTCTCCGCTCTATGTTCAGTTCCATACACTCCCGTATTACCCTGGAACGGCTATTGTTCGTGTATAAATTGAGACGAGTTTGATTTCGCCATGTAATTTGTCAACGTATTTCGGGCCTACCTTGCTAAATATTAATCCCATTTGCCTGAATCAAATATAGCCATCCGAATTAAACCGACTGAATCTAATTCATATCGCGGGGACAAAAGGAAAAGGATCGACATGTGCATTCATCTCCTCGATTCTGAGTCAATACCTACCGTCCGCATCCGTATCCCCACGCTTAGCAGATTCCAAACGGCCAAAGATCTCAAAAGTCGGCTTGTACACATCCCCGCATCTCCGCTTCATTCGGGAGCGCATTCAGATCAATAATGAGCCCATCTCCGAACAGCAGTTTGCGAATTACTTTTTTGAGATTTGGGACAGGCTGGAGGCATCGGCCAAGGCAGGTGGAATGGATCCGACGGACCCTGTGTCGAAGCCTTCCTACTTCCGTTACCTGACGCTCATGGCCTTCCACGCATATATGTGCGAGGGCGTGGATGCCGCGATTATCGAATGTGGCATTGGTGGCGAGTACGACTCGACGAATGTCATTGACAAGCCGGTTGTGACCGGGATAACAAGCCTAGGAATTGATCATCAGTCTACGTTAGGAAATACCATTGAAGAAATCGCCTGGCATAAAGCGGGGATTATGAAGAAGGGAGTCCCGGTATTCACGGCTCCGCAGATTGAGAAGGCCAGGGCCGTACTGGAAAAACGCGCGGTGGAAAAAGGGGCGGAGCTCCATGTCGCAACTGGACATCCGGAGCTCACCCCCAACAACCAAGCAGCATTGCGACTGGGTCTTTCAGGAGAATTTCAATATACAAATGCAAACCTCGCCGTTGCTGTTGCTGGGTCCTTTCTGAAATCCAGAGGTTTTCAAGACATACCCACTAATTTGAACAGCTTACCCTTACCGGACAAGTTTATGCGTGGCCTAAAAACAACTAAACTAGGCGGCCGCTGTGAAATGCGCCTAGAAAAAAATATTTCCTGGTATATTGACGGTGCCCATACGCTAGAAAGCATCGAGGCGACAGGAAAATGGTTCGTTTCTCAACAACCGCGAGCAAAAGAGTCACCGGCATCACCTCTATCGTCGTCCTCAACAAACCCCATCCCCCGTATCCTCATCTTCAACCAACAGACCCGCGACAGTGTCGGTCTCGCCTGCGCCCTCCACAACACCCTTTCTCTCTCCTCCGCTAACCTAACTTTCACCCATGCCATCTTCTGCACAAATGTTACGTTCAAACAGTCTGGCTACAGGCCCGATCTCGTCAGTCTAAACACAAGCGCATCGGATGTCGAGACTCTGAAGGTTCAACGAGCGCTCGCGCAAGCCTGGAAGGAGTTGTCGCCGTCGACCGAGGTATTGGCAAAAGCTACTATTGAAGAGGCTGTAGATGTTGTTAGGGAGATTGGAAAAGCTAGGGAACAAGAGTGTGAAGGGATGCGTGAGGCCACAATCTCCACGCTTGTTACTGGGAGCTTGCATCTTGTTGGGGGGCTTTTGGAAGTTTTGGAGACAACATCGAGCAATTGAATTTCCCCAAACGATATGCTTAGGGACAAGCAAAGTCTGTGGGAACAGAATTACGGATGTAACATTTCTTGTTTTATCAATTCCTCCAGTTGATATAAAGGAGCTATCGGGCTCTCTCGACCTCTCGCGAACTTACCTTGCTTTTGCTCATTTACGTTCCTGCGAATAATATTTCAATAATTTCCCCATTTGCCATGCCTCCTAGTTTGTACATGATACCTTCATCAGAGTCCCCTGGCGCAGCGCAGGATGCAATGTTTTCCCTCCCTACAAAGTCTTCTTGTTGCGCTTCTACACTTCGTTAATGATCCTTGCTCCGTACAGTGGAATACAATGTGTATATTAAGATGAAGCCAGCCCCATCTCAGGAGCCTTGACTTTGAAAGGTATATCTGTGTTGTGTATCTATGTTATTGTGGTATTCTTTCGGGAGCTCCTCAATAGCCCTATCCCGAAAACAGCCATATCGAGTGGGCTTTTGAATATCCATATCCCACTCATTATTATTATTATTATTATTATTATTATTATTATTATTATTTTATTTTATTTTTTCTTCATCGTGCGAACAACACAGAAACCCCGCGCAAAGAGAAACGACAGCGGACAGAGCGGGGACAAGGGTAGTCCATTTATATTTTGACGAGTAAAAAAACTTCCGAGGTTCAACAAGTTAAGTTAAGTTAGTTAGCGGCTGATAAAGTCCTAGCGCAGGGTGGGAAAACATTCTTCAATACCCCTCGCTCGTTTGCACTCCCGCACAATCCAGTTTCAATACACATCATCTCCTACGGCACCACCGCTATTCTTAATGCAATAACCGTGGGTGAATATTCTCCACGACCTTATAACCGACATTGGATGCGTTTGTAACTCTAGATTAGGCCCATAACCCACGAACTCTTCGCCGAAAACCCGCTCTTTTCAAGCTTCATGTCAGAACAAGAAGGGAAGCAGTCGGAGCACCAGTCGGAGCACGTAGGTGAATTAGAGGGGAAACTGCCAAACGAAACTCCTACAACCTCCCAATCAACAAACGCATCTACAGGGACGGCGGGGGAAGGGGAGAAGAAGTCAAGCGATGGAGACCCTGCGGCCGCAAATCCTGCGACAAAGCTCACCCCCAGCATGGCGGAATCGCTACTCGAGCTGAACCCGGCCCTACGAAGCGAGCTTGCTGGAATGGATAAGGAAAAGGCAACAGAAGCTCTTCGCCAGATGAACATTTCGGATCTCCTCACCGGTCTATCTGTGAACCCGAAGAACCAAAAGGATATGGCGTCTTTCAAGTTCTGGCAAACGCAGCCGGTAATTAGATTTGATGACAGGGAGAGCGGGATCCCTGACGGGCCGATCAAAACAGTTGAACTTGACCAGGTTTCTCGGGAGCCTATTCCGTTAGTTGACGGATTCGAGTGGGTTACACTGGATATAGATGATGAGGCGGAGCTGAAGGAGTTTTATGAATTGCTGGCGAACCATTACGTGGAAGATGGCAGTGCTATGTTCAGATTCAATTACTCGCCTGCATTTCTGAACTGGTGCGTTGTTTTCTGTTGCCATGCTAATTGGTATAAGTTATGTTCTTGATACTAAACGCTTTTTCAGGGCACTCAAGGCTCCCGGGTGGAAGAGAGAGTGGCATGTTGGCGTCAGGGCTTCTAAATCCCGAAAACTCGTCGCATCCATATGTGGTGTCCCTGCAGAAATTGCAGTGCGGGGGAAACCACTAAAAGTCACGGAAATCAACTTCCTCTGCGTACATAAAAAACTTCGCTCGAAGAGACTAACGCCAGTCCTTATCAAGGAGATCACACGTCGTTGCTACTTAAATGGCATTTATCAGGCCATATATACAGTCGGGATCATGCTACCTACGCCAGTCAGTGCTTGTCGGTACTACCACCGTGCGTTGGACTGGCTAAAGCTGCACGAAGTTGGCTTCTCGCCGCTTCCGATTGGCTCAACCAAGTCCCGACAAGTTACGAGGAATCACCTACCAGGCCACACGTCCACCCCTGGCTTACGCCCAATGCAAAGCAAGGATATTGACGCCGTCCAGGATCTCTTAAACCGATATCTCAAACGATTTGACCTTTCTCAGATCTTCAGTCGAAAGGAAGTAGATCACTTGCTGCTACATAAGGAGAAAGCCGGAGCAGAACAAATTGTTTGGTCCTATGTTGCCGAGGAGCCGGGAACGCACAGAATTACGGATTTCGCCGCTTTTTACTCACTGGAATCTAGTGTCCTCCAAAACTCAAAGCACAAGAACGTTAAAGCCGCTTATCTCTATTACTACGCGACAGAAACTGCATTTGCAGAAAAAGAAAAGGGTCTAAAGGAAAGGCTTCTGATGCTGATAAATGACGTATTGATTCTTGCCAAGAAGGTATGTTTACACATCTGATGCGCTGCTTGATTCCGTTACCTTTTTTTTTTTTATCTTAATTCCAACCGGTGTGTCAGGAACGTTTTGACGTCATGAACGCTTTAACTTTGCACGATAACCCGCTTTTCCTTGAACAGCTAAAATTTGGTGCTGGAGATGGCCAGCTTCATTATTATCTATTCAACTACAGAACCGCGCCCATCGCTGGAGGAGTGAACGACAAAAACTTGCCCGATGAACGGAAACGGGGTGGGGTCGGAGTCATCCTCGTCTGAACTGGAAATTTCTAAGGCACAAGGTTATCAAAACGGATACTCGACGCAAGACGGCAGGCAATATTACATGAGGACCGGCAACCGCTGGCTGTCCCAAGCCTCATCTAGGCTAGTGACTAGTTTTACTAGTACTATTTAAAGACCGTAGAGGATGAAAGGGATTATTGCCTTGAGGCACCGATTATTGTTAGATGTGTAACTTTACCAATGCTCAAAATGTCCTCCACACTTTATCCTATCCTGCGCAACCGATGATATTCTTCCCATATTCAAGCGCCACCAAAAATATTTCCCCCTTTCTGTTGCGCGTTCTAGACGCCTGCCATTATGTACTAGCAGCATCCATGGATATAAATAGCGACCACGTTTCTGCCAAGCTCAATTTGTCGCATTGACGACCCTTTGTCACGTGCTGCTGACGCAAACCTTGGAAGCCGAAGCGTCCGGCCCGTTGGCCTCCGACTGCCTGGGAACATCAACGCCTCATCTTGGCCGACCAGATATATATATCGCTTTGAAGACCGCCTGTAGCAACTTGCTTTGTACCCAAAATTTGGTCCTCGTAACCCCGGCTGGTGTGAATTGGTCCCCTTCCTGGTATCGTTGCTTGCATGTGTGAAGCTATCACGCTTTTAGTCCCGCTTCGCGAATTCTTATCTTATCGCTTTTGTCCCGCCTCAATATTAGCCTCGGATCTCGTGCTGCTCGTTGGATGGAAACCACATACCATAATCCAATGAGAAATACTGGAGATCTCAATTCCTAGTCGTACTTCATACGGTTTGGCCACCAACAATGGGTGGTGCGCTCTCCACTGATGACCCGGAGCAGAGAGCTTCCTCAGGTTAGCCTCCCAATCCTTGTATGCTAGTCGTGATTGCTCGCTATGCCTCGTAGTTCCTTATTTTCATGATTTTCTTTCACTTACTTTCTTCCACCCCTCTCCTTTTTTTTTTTTTTTTTTTTTTTTTTTTTTTTTTTTGCCAATTTTATTTTTACCATGGCTGGAGTGGCCATTTTTAACAGCATATTAACATTTTGAAACCCGCTTTTATAGTGGAGGAGCTGAACCAACGCTTGGCTCACCGATTCGCAGCCAAATGCTTCGAACCGCTAGAACTGACCCATCTGAAAGAGAATTTCTTTTCCAGAGCTCTAGACCAGCATGGCATTCGTTATTGGAATGAAGAAATATTATCAGAGTTTTTGGGTATCCCCGACGGTGCGGGTTCGGCAGCAGCTGCAACCAGCGATGGGTCACTCGATGCAGGACCGGTCATCTTCCGTATGGTCTCCTATCTCGGCGCATTTCCATTCCAAAACACCATGGCACCAACAGTATTGACGTTCGAGTCAATGGTTAAAGTGGTTGTGCTGCTTACTGAGAGATATGGGAAAGTCCTGAAGCGAGGGAAGAAGGATCGGATTAAACTACTTTTCGGTAGCCTCGCGGATGTTGGACGAAGGGATATTATCACGCAATTGAAAGAAGCCACAGAGGACTCGTTGGAATCGATTGGTCCCTTCGATCCTAAAAGTGCAAGTCCCTCCACTCATAATACAGGGTTCTTAGTGGATCAACCTCTTAACGATGAGGACGAGGAGGACGATGATGATCTAGCTATTGCAGCCTTGGAATCTCTTGATGCGATTGAAGTATTCAAACACGACCAACGCATTGATAAAACCGTCTACGAGTCAAAGATTTCGCTTACTACCTTTCGACGACTTCTAACGTTACTTCTTGTTACGGCGCCACTACGGCCGCTAGGAAGAGTGTCAAAGTTCACAACAGGATTGAGCAAACCTTCACTAGACGCTGTACATGAACAGGTGGACAGTATTCTTGCGGCGTTAGAACCTGGAGAAGCAAGCGATGGCATTGGATATAAATCGTTCTCCAAGCTGGTATCGACGTCACTCCCGTATCTTTTTGACCCCTTAACTCCCTTGTTTGAGCATCTACTTTTCAGCAAAAATCTCGATCTATCACGGAAACGTGACTCTCAAACTACCAATGGCCTGACGAACAAGCCCGTCCCAACCCCTCCTTCAACCCCTCCAATCTCTCCTCCCTTATCGCCTGTCATTTCAACTGGAGGTTTCGACTCACGTATTCTAAATCCTGCCGTACTATCCCACCTCTCCTTTTTCGTTTCAACCAATGTTCACATACCAAATATATTCCGCAATCGCACTCACCTCCACCCAGTTTTTTCATCGACAGAACACGGTGAATCCTTAACATCCTTCTCCCACCACGTCATGACCTGGCAAGCCCCGTCAATCCTGTTAGTCAGAGGAGCGGTGGTCTCCGAATCCAGCGAAGAACAATTGACCACGATCGGTGCTTACCTCCCACAACCCTGGAAACAAACCTCGTCATATTCCTCACGCCGATCATCCGAAGTTCCTGATCCATCAACCCTCCCTTGTCTCTTCGAGCTGTCTCCAGTCCACACTGTGCTCCAAGGCTCGCCATCCTTCTCATCGCTAAAACCTAACATGCCGGTGAGCCACTTCTCAACTAAAACCGGCATAGCAATCGGCTGCGTGATTCCACCGTCATCCCGAAAGTCCCTTGGAAGTGATCTCCACCCTAAACCTGCCGGTGGCGGCAGCCTCCTCATCGACTCCGCCCTGGAAAACGCCACTTTCATAGTCTCCAACGGCCTCAACGGCCCAGGCGTATTCCTCCCCCCTGGCATCTCTCCTGTGCTATCTTCGACGTCCCTAACAGCATCGGTAGCATCTATGTCTTCCTCTAATCAAAACATTACAAAGTCCATATCCATTTATAATCTTGAAGTGTGGGGCATCATCCCCTCCACCTCCCTCGCAACCCAACTCGATGGCTCCGGGTCCCCCATCGAGAAACGGGACGCGATTTCCTTGCAGCGCGCTCAATGGGATTTCGAAGCGCGCGAGGCGGAACGCCGACAGGCGATTAATATGAAAGTGGGTGGTGGGGAGGCGGACGTACCTACTGGTAGAGCGTTACTGGAGATGGCGGGGATTATTGGCGATTCATATTATTCGGGACACCACCGTCATTGAGTAAATGAAGCTGGTGGTTTTGGTTTTGTCGCTAGTGAGAGGAATGGTGGGGTTTTGGGTGATTGGTGCTTGGTGTTTGGTTGGGTTTGGACTGGCAAGCAAAATTGTAGGTATCCATCCTTTTACTTTTACTATCTATCATTCACGACACCATATGGGTATCAACTTCCCTTCTAGTTGTTTTGCCGAAACATCTGCGGTGTGTTTTGCATCTCCGTGTCTGCCCAAGCTCATTTTCACATGGTTTTCTAACGATGGATGGCCGTTTTCCACTTAACCATACACGAGAGCTGTGAACATTATTTCCTACTTTCCGCTCCTCTGCTCTTCCTTTTTTTTTTTTTTTACACTGATTTTTATATCTCGATTCATACAAAGGATCGGGGACAAGTTGTGTTTGTTTTATTCTACGCACTTTCTACAATTCAATAAACCGATACTGCCGGCTCCCCAAACCCAGCCGCTTTTAACAACAATTCCTATTCTGTTCCGAATATCATCCCAACCAATGCCATCATCACAAAAACAAAAACATAACGTATAACGTAAACAAGGAACCGATGAAGAAATTAGTTAAAGATGGGAAATAAACGGAAGCAGTATTCTCCAATTTCGAAACGCTTGTAAGTAGATCATATATCTAAATATTCAACGCCCATGAGAGAAGAGGTGATAAACTCTTCATCGAAGCGGCACGATGCCATTCGGCATGTCATAAAACTCCTTCAACTCCTCCTCAAACTGCACATCCTCAACATTACCCTCATCATCGTCATCGCCACCGCCGCCCTCCTGCTTTACAGCCACACCGTTTTCCGCCTCACTATCCACAGTCTTCTCTCCACGCCCTTTGCTTTTCCTCCTAGCACTACGCGCTTGCTGCTGCTGTGGCTTCTGTTCACCCACGGTTTGTAATAATTCATCGCCACCAGCAGTAGCGGCGGCGGCGGCACCGGTCTGAGGTACCCCCTCGTGCGGTAGGCGGAAGGCAAGATATTCGATGTCAGCCCGCTCCATGCGGTCCATGATATCGTTCATGTATTTGCGGACTTCGGCGGGCGGGTTGACGACCCGAGCTAAGGGCTCGAGGGTGCGCGGGTTGCTCGCGTGGAGGCGTATAGTTACGGGTTGGTAATATTCTTTTGTCTTTGGTTTGGAAGGAGGAGGTATTCCTTCTGTTGTCGTTGTCGTTGCCGTTGTCGTCGTTGGTGCCTGTATCTCCGGGCCGGTGGTGGTTACGGAAGTCGGTTTTTCAGATGGAGAATGCTGGGTGGCTGGATCCGTGGTTCCTTGTTTGGGTGCGGGGACAAGGCTCTGCAGTGATGTATCTGGAGGTGGAGTGGTTCTTATTGCGGAGGCGAGTTTTGACTTTTTCGCCCTGCTTTTTCCAAAATTATTGGCAGACAAATCTGGCGGCGGAGTAGAAGGATCAATTTTCTTTATTATCAGAAATGATGCAATCACGGTTGTACCTCCGGGGAAATAGTCAAGGATGGTATTTGCTGGGAAAAGATATCTGTCTCCAGAGGCTGTATGAGTGGAATTGTTACCGGCTGGGGAAGGCGACAGAAATTCAAATACAATGGCCTTTGGGTCTGGTTTTGGGGGGACTGGAGGTTGAGATGGAGTATGTTGGTGGAAGTAAGTATTATGCGGCGGAGGCTGCTGGGAAGTTTTAGGTCCTATTGACTGCGAAGGGGGTTGATTTTGGTAGGATGAGTGAGTGGAAGGAGACGCGTGAGCAGGACCTGTTTGGTTCGATATGCTTGGGTCGTTTGAATGAAAATAATGAGAGGGGGTTGGTTGTGCGGGTGCTAGCGGAGTACGGGCTGATGATGAAGAGGGAGGCTGCGGCGGCCCTGGCGTAAAAGGTCGTCCTTGCTGATCGGGCTTGAGGTGTGCCGCTACACTTTGACTCTCATTTTGTCTTCTGCTCGCAAGAATGGCATTAAGCTCATCAATATGAGCTTGGAAGGCGCGCAGCTGAGCCTGGTTCGCCTTGCTTGATGCTACAATTCTCATTAACGCCTTCAGCTCTGGATTCGAAGCGGCTCGGGTGGCCAACATATGAATAACCGGGTCCGGGCTCGTTTTCACGGGTTGGGATTGCTCTGGTGGGTTCTTGGCAGGAGTGTTTTGCATAGGCTCGCTTTTTGCAGGGTAGTTCTGACGAATACGATTCTGTGAAGGTGGATTCGGCCCTTCAGGTCGTGACTGTCGGATGGATTGGGTGGAAGGGGGAGGCGCATTGTTGTGAGATTGTTCAAGGCGGCTCTGCGAAGGTAGCTGCTGGGGTGGGGGTGCAGTAGCAATAGGGGAAGTATGGAGACCTGGAGAGTAAGGCTGGCGTGGCTGGCCGGGGGGTTGGGGTTGGGGTTGGTACCGGTAGAAATTATTTGGCGGGGTGTATTGCACAATTGGTCGCTGGGGAGGAGCATATTGGATTGGCTGTTGGGCTAGCGGGTTTCGAACGGTAAATAACATGGCTTCGAAGTGATGAGGTTCGATAATGATATTGCAGGGTCCCAGTTTACTCATGGATTCTCGTGGGGGGTTCTGCCGTGGTTGGGGCTGTGATTTCTTCTTGGATGGTTTGGTCCAGTATTTCTCAAATATGCAGTCATTAAGCCATCTTATCCTTGACCTTTGCAGAGCAGCAGACAATACAGCGCTAAATGAGAGCCAGCAATCAGTAAACGAATATTCCGCCTGAACTCCAGCAACGTTCAACAGGAAGCCTGAGTCATTGGGCGCGTACCTCTCAGCGTAGGACTGAAACTCCTCCGGTGACAGGGTGCTTGGTTGCGGTTTGGTAAGAGTAGGCAACGGGCTTCCATCTTCAATCTTTGTGGGGAGGACCCTCTTCTCAGGCTCCGGCAGCGAAGCGATAGTGGGCGTAGCAGATGCTTTTCTCTTCGCCGGGGTGGTGTCCCGTTTGAGAGCTGCCTCTGAAAGCTTTCTCTTTGCGGCGGATTCTCCACCACGGGGAGGAATTTTTCGCTTCTCGCGCATTGTGATTCCGGGGTAATGTCGAAGTCGACGGCTGGGATGTGCAAGCCGTCATCTCCAACGAACAGGCGTGCTAGGTGCAAATTGACAGGTGGATCCAAGTGATATTGTGGAAGTTCCAGAGGTTTACGGACCTCGCATTGCGGAGGTCAGGATTCACGTGAATCACGTTTTTTTCTCACGTGGAAGCTTTTTGCCAAGAAAGTATGATTATTTTTCACCCACCTAAAACACACTCACACTAACCAAGCAAAAGAGCTCGATCACCACCAGCGCCTTGGTGATATAGAGGGGACGAATCACTCGATCCAATCCCTCCAACAGTTATAGGAAAAGGTGTGTGTGTGTGTGTGTGTGTGTATAACTTCCGATTTTTCATAGGCTATATGCCAGCGGAGCTTATGATAGCCAGCCTGCAGTACTAACCCTTAGATACATAATATAGGAAAAGGTTGAGATAGGGACATATTGAAATCAGGTATGTGGCATAGCTAATTTAATCACAAACTTCAAATCATGTACGGAGTATATCTCGAGCAACTGGGGATTTTGCAAAGGAGGTACATCAAGTTCTCCAAAGGCCTCATCCAATGGTCTCGAATAATCTCTAGGTTTCTTTTGTATTCAAACCTATGTCCTGTGCCTATATAATTCGTCGCTACCAGTATGCTAACCCTTGTTACAGCATATCTAAATATGGAACTGGCGCCAATATTCAAGAAGGCTTACGGGTTGTTAGCTTTCGTGGGCTTTTTATACATCCTTGGTGTCTTCTCCCTGACATACCCTTCCGTCCAACGAATGTATGTCGTCAGTGATAGACAAGCTATCGCGGAAGCCATTTTATTTTTGAACAGCTTTCCTACATCTATCTTCTAATGCGGCAATTTTTGCGGTTAGGGTGCTCTATGTGAACCAATTCAACCCTACCTACTTCCAGGATGTCAATGATGCCGAATATTTTGGATTCCTAAGTACTGAAATGCTTTGACTTACTCCATCGTCAATTTTTAAGTATCCATTTTACATTTTTTTCTAACAATCACAGAATCTCAAAATTCAGCCGTTTAATATTCGAACCCCGGATAACGAAACCCTCTATGCATGGCACATCGTCCCACCCCGTCTGTTCAAAGATAACGAAGCGGCTTTCCTTGTCAATGCCTCATCAGGTCCTGCTGAAGATGTCACCAAGACTATTACTTTCAATCTTCTCGCGCAAGACCCCAATGCGAGGGTCGTTTTAAACCGTACGCTTGATTTCCCACCTAGAATCAAAACAACATCTTGTATTATTGTTAACCCCCGCATCTTGACCGTAGTTCACGGAAATGCAGCTCATCTGGGGTCCGGATATCGCCCTCAAATGTACCGCAGCTTCCTTGCAGCATCTACCCCAAAACACCCTGTGCACGTTATAGCATTTGACTATCGAGGCTTCGGAAAATCCACAGGCTCGCCAACTGAGGAAGGTTTAATCACTGATGCGCTGTCACTAATCAACTATCTTACCTCTCCCCCGCTCTCCATCCATCCATCCCGTATTGTCGTCGCTGGCCAGAGCCTTGGGACCGCAGTCGCAGCCGGCGTCGTAGAACGATACACGTTCGGTGACCCCTCATCCGTCCCGGAACCGCTGGCAGGCGTCATTGTGTTCGCCCCATTCTCGAGCATCCACACCGTCATAAGCACATACCGTCTCTTCGGATTCTTCCCCCCGATACTCTCTGCTCTATCACCCTATCCCCGGTTCCTGAACTATATCCTTGGCCACATCGTAGATACATGGGATTCAGCGTCCCGCTTCGCCCGACTCACTGGCGCTTTTCCTCAACCTGGCGATGTAGATTCTTCACATGCAAGCCAAGGGTTCAATCTTGCCCTTGTCCATGCCGTGAATGACGCCCAGATCCCGTGGCCAAATGGACACGGAGTTTATGAGGCTGCGATAGGAGGTCCAAATGCCAGTGTCCTAGGCAGTTACGTGCATGAGTATGCATCTGACGATGAGGTCGTGCAGGTGAAAGTATGGGAAAAGAATTTGAGCACAAAGTCTGGTGAGAAAAGGGTGAAAAGAGTGCGGTGGGAGCGGGTCCGATATGGAGGTAAGAAACCTTGAAATTTTCCCGTTTATGTGCTCTGTTTTTTTTCTTTATTTTGTTTCTTTTTTTTTTCCATTTCTTTCCCCTAGAAAATAGCTGACTAGAGCTATTGCTTTTAGGACACAACGCAGTTGCGGCGACCACTACAGCAACGCTCTCGATTATACGGATGTTTGAGAAATAGACAGGGCCTAGAAGAAGACGCAAGCTAAGCGCTAGACATCGTTCCCTCATTAACTAGATAATGTGACGGACACAGGTTGCCAAATTAATACAGCCGTGTGCGCATAATTGTTTCTGATACTACGACTCTATAAAGGACCATAGACACGATCAGATGTTGCTTGTTTGCGCATCCATGGTTTTATAACCGTCCAAATTTGTTCTGCGATCTGTGCGACTGATTCTCCCAACAAAGTTAAAGCATTCCATCCCCTAAACAATTGACGGAGGAAATAATAATAATAATAAGGAGAAGAAAAAAGCCAAATCTATATTCCTGCTTCGAACATGTCACCAACTATCTATAATCAAACAAACCGATGATCGTAAAGCAAAGGACAAAGAAAATATGAAACGAAATGCCTATAATACATGGTGACTTTAATGTTATTTGGACACGTATAAACCAAAACTCCAAAAGGTACCTGAAGGAGAGTAGCGAAAAAGCCACGCTCCTGCGCGAAATAAAATATTTTTATCCATGACTGTTGCTTTCCTCGCATTTCACTAGGAATACAGGAGATGAGAAAAGAAGTTTTATATTAGTAATTGAGTTGTTATAGTGCAGGTCTCATGCAGGGTTTCCATGAGGGGAGAGAGGGTTTAGACGGATCCATTTGAGGCACAAAAGTCGTTTCTTGTAATGGCGAATGTTTGCTAGCGAGGTGCGTGAAATCTGGATGGTTTTTGATTGTAAAGAGAGGGTAGAGGGGAGGGAATGGGGGAGAGGGAGGAAAGGAGTCGCACGTTGGTTGCCATGCTGGCGGAAGATTCGTCGATGGCGGGTTTGAGTGAATGAGTGACAGACTTTGTTTTCTATTTCTTGTGTCTTGCAGCCTGGGCGGCTTACGTATTCGGCATGAGT